TGCACAGGCCCAGCTGAAAATTACGTGTTCGCCGTGTTGTGTGCCCTGCTCACTAATTTGTGCTCGTTTTTCATTCACTTTCGCATGGCACTATTGCAGACTCTGTCTCTATCTCTCTGTCACCCAGTCCCGTGTTATGTGTTCGCCTTATTAAGGATGGAAGAACGTGTGATGGCATTTCATGGAAAACACGGTACATTTTGTATTTTGAAAATAAATTTCCGGCTCAGCCGTTGATTTGCAAAACAGAAACCTCTTTGCTAAAGCACACTCGTATCTGGTATCTGACACCTACACGCTACATTTGCAGCGGTGCCATTGGACGGCGGCGGCAGGGAGGAAGGGACAGTCGTGGCAGTAGCAGCAATAACGCCAGCAATTTCTGTAGTCATATTACATGTCATGTCGGTGCAGCCATCTGAACTGTACAGTACACACAGACACACACACACACACATACACTGACACCTGCTGTAGATCCTAGACACATCCTTTCACACTTCAACACGTTTTCACTTTAATTTCCTGTGCGCCGAGAGCTAAATTGTAATCCAATACACAGAACTGGTTTACTAGTCGTGTGAGCTTGTATCCGTTGCCTGCCAGCACTAATTCAAAATAACTTTACAGTTATCAAATTCTTTTGATAGTAGCAAGGGCTTACTTTCCGAATATTGCCTAGTTAATTGAATTGACGGCTGGCTGTAATGGAAGTGGAAATGACCTTCATCCGGTCAATTGCAGTTGAGCAAATTGACTTAAACAGTAACTCACAGAATTCACAAAAATATGCAGGGCGCCGTTTGCCCAAATGGAAATGGAAAGGCAATCGTGATTAGCATCGACCTAGAAAACTTTCTAGCGCACGCCCAATGAGCAATCGAGGCACACAAATTTGGCAATGATAACAACAACAACAACAATGTTAAACAATCGACGCGTGTTGTACAAATTTCAATTTCAATTCGAATTTGAATTTGAATTTCAATCGACTGACTGTTTTAATTGGCATGCAGGTCGTCGTGATGTTGGCCAACCAACATGGATTGGCCCCTGTCCACTGGCTCTTGGCCCGGCTTTTGAACGAGTGTCGCCAGCACCCCAAATTTGCCATTGCATTTGACCAAAATGGGCGCTTCGTTGGCGTCTATTGCGTCAGCAGCAAATCAACAGCAACTATTGAGCAATTGGTCAAATGCTTTTCACTGTGTCAGGTTCAAACTTGGAACATGTTTGGTTGCCAATCGACATCAACATCGCCGTCGCAGTCGCAGCTGACGCACAACGACGGTCTGGGAAAGCACAAATTATTTTGGCCTGACAACATATACTGTGTGCTGTTCGCGTCATTGTTTATTAATATTCAGTTGATGTAATGGAACTATATATTTTCGGCACCATATGCAAATATTTGTGCCAGCTTATTGTTGTTTTCTTATGCGTGCATACAATAATTTCAAATTATCAAAAAAGTTTATTCCTTGACTGATTTTTGAATGATTTCCGTTTACATTGTTCAAAAACTTGACTTCAAATAAATTTACGGATTATTTGAGGTACTTTTATTTGGCAAGGTGTATCAGAGCAAGTTTTCTGATATCTTAAATTATTATTAATTGTTTTTTTCATATGTGTTTGAACATGTTTTCGAATTTTTCAAAAGAAATATACAATTATTAACTTCATTAACCATCTATGCATAGCGCAATAGCCTTGCACGATGATTTTAATAAGCTATTCCTTCGTTCTCGCTTGTCACATATTTTGAAATAACAAATTTCACACGATTTTTCCCCATTTTTGGGCCATCAATCAGCTTGGCGGTATGTGACATACTTTATAATCAAGTATACGCAGCGTGCGACGCACGCATATTTCAGCGAGTGGAACATATGAATTAAACGAAAATTGCGTCTTTAATATACATTTAACTTAATGGCAGAGGTAAATATGTACTCTCTGCAGAATGGCTGGTGCATTGATGAAATTTTGCGGCAACACTCAAGACAAATACTTCAAATACCACTAGAAAATGCAAACGCAATTGTTGCAAAAATGAAAAGCGTAAAGTGTTTTGTTGAAAATGTTCCAAAAACAACATACGACTGCTGCGCCGCCAGCAGACAAATGTAAACAAACTGTGTGCACCCGAAAACGACGCCGTCGACGCAGTCCATAAAACTGCGCCAGCTGCTGCCAACTGCTAGGAGAGGATGGGTGCTTGTTAGAATGGGCCAGTTTGGGACGCTTCTGGAACGCCAAATATAAATTGCAGTAGCAGGCTGGCTGCACTACAAAATATTTGCCATGCAAATAGTGCACGAAAATAAAAGAGAATGCTTCACTCTGACAATATTCGAGTGCAATTAAATGCAAAATATATAACAATGCAGTAATGCATAAAGAGCGAGAATCGCTCAACAATTTGACGTTTAAAAATAATAAAAGTGCTGCCCACAATCAATGGGCAAGTTAATTGCTCGTAATAAATGTAGAATATAAGTGTGGCTGTGTGTATGTGTTTGTCTGTGTGTGTGTGCCTGTGTGTGTTTGTGTTGTGTGTGCATTGTTTTAAGTGTCACTCGGTCTGCACAATTTAAGGAGCTTGTACACCAGCCCTAACCGAGATCATGCTGAGAGACCCATTGAGAGGCACACAATGGCAACAGCGACGACGATGACGACGACACATTTGAACATGTTCAACGTTGAGTGCGTTTATTTGATGGCACACATCTCTCTCTCTCTCTCTCTCTCTCTCTGTCTCTCTCTCTCTCTCCTTCCCAGCATTGCCTTTGGCAAGTGCATAATTTGCTGGCGTAAGTAACGTTTGCCCTCGTCGCAGCTTGTCACATATTGCACGATGTTGCATAGCGAGAAAAAATATATATATATATATATATAATAGATGTTTCTTTTCGCATTGGAACATCAAAATGAATTTACGAAGAATTTTATGTAAATTTAACGTGACAATTTTCATTTTAGTCGTGTATATCACTGACATAGAATATATGCATACTATGTATATAAATAATTTATATATCTTACCGCACAACGCGGCGGATGCGCAACGTGTACGCCAATTTGCACGGCGGATTACATCACAGCCAAGGGAAGCAGTGACAAACGTAGGCGAAGCCGGATTATGAGAGGGGAAGTTGGAGAGCAAGAACTCAACATGTCTTATGGCTTGCATTTAATTAACAAGCTAATTTTTCAAAGCACAAATCGCTGAACGCTGCAATACGAAAGAAGCAGAAGAAGAAGAAGAAGATAAGCAGCAGACTTATGAGGCACAGTTGAATGAGGGGGAGAAAGAGCAAGAGCAAGAGCAACAGCAAGAACAAGAACAAGCAATTGCTGCCGACGCCGGCGCCGGCTGTGTGTGATGCCACAAGAGATGGGGCGGTGCCAAAAATACAAGTATGAGCACTGACATCTGTCTGCATTCGCAGCGCATGTCTATATGGGTTGCCTAATGAGATGGGGCACGAACGGCAGCCAATGCATAAGATACGGTTTATTATTGGAAAGCAACTGCAAGAAGCATTTCTGTGTACTAATCTTCTGTTTAGTACACTTTTCTTAACTTTGATCTTTTACCTTCTATGTTGCAGAAAATTAAAAAAAGAAATAAATACAAATTTTTAGCTTATACTTTTCTAAATTTTATTGCTTTTAAGTTTTATTCGCAGAAAAACAAACCGTTCTTGTAAAATTTACACTTTTCTTCTCTACAACAGCAAAACAATGCGCTTGTTAGTCTTTGAACAATAGTCGTACTTAGTATTTAGTTGTTTTCTGGATTTATTTTGTGGTATTTCTAAAACAATTTCATTTGGCTATGTGGCAGCAATCTCATGTCAGTTTCAAAAATTCTGCAAATTCTTCTGATCCTAAATCGCCAAAATTAATAGCCATTTTATGTAGCATTTGCAGTTGCAAAAGAGACAATGCAAACGCTGTTACCAAAATACACAACAGCGGAAACAAATTTACAGTAAAACATATTAAAATGCCACTCACACGATAATCTCCTTTTGCCATCATGCCCCGTCCCCTTCCCTTCCCTTCTCTCTCTCGCTCTCTTGCACTCTTGCACTCTTTGTCTCGCTTTGCTGTGCTCTCAAATGACAAAAAGTTTGCTGACAAAATGTTTGGGACTTGGAGTTGGGGTTTTGCATTAGAGGTTTGGGATGAGGTTTATTTTGCTACAATAAGCTGCAGATTTTGCATATTTCATAGATGTTGACAGTAGCTGTGTGTTCGTGTCTCTGTGTGTGTGTGTGTGTGTGTGTGTGTGTGTTCGCTTGTGTGGGTGGCAGCTAGAAGTTAACCCAAAGAAAATAATAGCAGACATTTATACAAATAAAAATTGCAATTTAAAGCGCGCCCCGCTGCTCCAACAATGTATCTGTGTATTCCACGTGTGCGTATGTGTGTGTGTGTGTTTGTGGGTGTCAGTGTGAGAGTGAGAGTGTGTGTGTGTGTGTGTGTGTGTAACTGTTGCCTTTGTCTACCCGAGAGCTTAGCGGCTGCCATAGATACTGGTCAGGGGTTACCTGTAAAAATAAACTTTATGGATTTCATTTTGCACTTTTATAGCAGGCCAACTGTCCCAGAGAAAAACACACAGAGACAAAAATGCTGGTAGTCCACACAAAATGAAATGTATTATCAACGGCAAAGCTAACAATGATGTACAACCAAGTACCCTGTTATAAGATACAAAGAAAAACCCGAAAGTTGAATTTTAATTCAGCATATAAGCGTAAATAAGCCAAGCTATATGTTGAAATATAAATAAAAAACGACAATTTAAATTGACAAAGTGGAGTAGTTAAATGTCGCACTAAACTTTTAATACTCTATTTTAATATTTCTACTGGTCATCCAAACTAATACATGTAATACTCGTTGTAAATGTAAATACCCAAAAAGGATTTCAATTTCAACTAATCCAAATCCACTCTTTTCCCCGTTCTCATCATTTACAGCACATGGTGCAGACTGGAGTGCCGTTTTCGGGCGCCCCGGCTGCCTATGCGGCCGCACCAGGACCGGCGGCTGCGGCCGCTGCAGCAGCTGCTGCTGCTGGTGCGCCCACAGCGGCCGAAAGTTTGTCGCTGGCCGTCACAGCAGCAGCCGCAATCAAAACTGAGCCTGGCATGCAGCTGAAGGCAGCCGCCGAATGCGCAGCAGCGGCCAATGCCAACACAGGAGCAGCTAGTGTGGCGCCAGCTCCAGTCGCAGTCGCCACCAGCGTGGCCGATGGCGTTGTCGTCAATGCACCGTTGTATATTCAACAAAAGGTGAGTGTGGTCTGCCAACCTACATTCTATAATTACACTCTGTCTACATCCCTCTATCTATTTTTATATATGTATATATATATATGTGCGTGCGTGTGTGTGTGTGTGTGTGTGTGTGTGTATTAGTGTTTGTATTGCATTTTGCTTAGTGTAGCGTTTATTTGGTTTTGGGTTTGCTTTGCTCTGTTTTGATTTGGCTTGGTTTGGTTTGGTTTCGTTATATTGTCCTTAGTAGTCTTTGACTGTGCGTAAAAGTAAGCACACACACACACACACACACACACACACACTCACGCACATTGCGTACGCCATTTTTGTTATTTTTGCTTTGACATTTTTTGATCACGGCGAACACTGTAGATGCTAAATAAGCATTGGCAGCATCTAACACACACAGCACACCAACACACACACAATTTAGCATTCAATACTATTTGTAGCATACTTTTAGTAGCTGCTGCAGCACGTCGCTTTTGTTATTGTTTATGCGCAGCAGCAAATGCTGGCGAACGTTTTGCTCAGCTGCATAGTTTATTCTCTTCGCATACATTTTGGTTATTTTTTTGTTCTTCTAATTAAAACACGTAGCACGAAACAGCACACGCACCACAGCATTGCCAACAACAGCGACAACAAATGAAACCTGAAATCAAATCACAAACTTTGCGTGAAATTTAGATTTTCCTGTCGCTCTGCGAAATTCACATCAAACATTTAAATTTTTTGATCAAAAATAAACTAAATGCTTACAACGACAGCTTAAAGCGAAACGGTTTTCATATTTTAAGAGTAGCAAACACAATATGTGCACAAATTTAATTTGGTTTATTTGCATATGCGAAGCAATTTTATTAACGTGCCTGGTTACGCCCATTGCAGAGGTTAGCATGTTCTTATTTGCTTATGAAAATTGATTCGTGCATTTGAATAATTTACCAGATGAGCTTTGCATTTTTTAGCTAACATTTAATTTTGTGTGCAACACAATCGCACACAACGACACAAAATCACACAAACATACACACATACACACTCGATTGTTTTAATTGTTTACATTTAGTTATTGGTGAACTTTTGCCCCATGTAATAAATAATCAAATATTTAATTATTGGCAAAAAAAAAATAAAAAATTGCTCGCTGTGGCTTTTGAATTTTGGTCCTTTACTTATTGTAACTGTTGGTCTTTTGTAGTCGAACTTTATGTTTATTTTTATGAAAATATGCAATTTTACTAAATATACATATATAGCAATTGGTTGATTATAATGGATCAACTCTCCATTTATTTAAACATAATACGCATACGCAATGTTGTCAAAAATCAATTTAAAAAAAAAACACCATTTGAAATGCAAACTGTATTTATGTATAATAGGAAATTCAAATAGTGAATAGTGTTCTGCAAATGTATTTAATTTTTTGTAGGAATGAGGTATAAAATTAAATTGTATGCATCAAACAGAAGCTATTTTAGATGCTGCTTTAATCAATTTAGTTAAATAAACAAGAGAAAATTTAAGAATAATAAACATTGCTATGAAACGACGAATTAATGACTGAGAAGCTTTGTGGCTTAAACCAATTTTGACAGCCATCACTTATTAACACTTTGATTTGATAGTAAATACTGCAAGTCGTATTGCATTCACTTAGGCAATTCACATTCCGTTTCTATTAAATTCATTTTTAATTGGGATAAAACAAGGACAATAATAACAAATTGATGTCGTAAATAAAACATATCACGTTCATGGACATGAACTTCAGCACAACAACAGCTGATCAAATGTACTGCAAAATGCTGAAAGGAAAACACTTGAAATAACACAGATAAAAACAACAAATAAATACCAAGAGAAGACAGCATTTGAGATACATCCTTCCGTCTGCAAATAAATGCTTAAGGGAATTGTAGTAAATGACAAAGCTCGAACTAGCTTCATCAGTGATGGGTGAATAATGACATGTCTGAAAGGTATCCGTAATAAATCCAAACTAATCTGTAATACGTAGCTGAGCTGGGCTCGAAACCCTAGTTTGAATGTCTTCTCATGTAAATTCCTAAATGATTGCGCATACGCCCCATTTGTTGGCCCGCCATTTGAACTAATCTAGCTCTATATTAAAAAAATAAATAAATAAATAAAAACGTCATATACTATATAATAAATATATACTTATAATATGTGTTGGTCGCATGATTTATTGACAGATTATTTATCTACTTTACTCTATCTCTCTCAATATATATACATATATATCTGGCTCTCACTTATTGTTAGTAAACAACCCCTTCAATGTTAAGCAATGCTTTAAGTTTGACAGTTTTCTAAACTGATTGATGAATTGTTATTGATATTGATATTGACTGGTTGATTGAGTCACATGTGTGCCATTTAGTTAAATATAATCCTTGAGATGTACTTGTATGTTTTTTTTATACATATATATATGTACATGTTTATATATTTACCTTAAGACTGTATAAAAATATCGACAACAAAAAAAAAAAACTGGTTAAACAGTTCTAGTTTCTCGCATTTTGTTATATCACTATTTTTGTATACTTATAATTAACAATATGCTAACTGTACTCGAGGCATGTTCAAGATATAATAAATATAATAAAACAACAACAACAACAACAAAAGCAACTAAACCATGACTCATGCAATTGAATATGATACTTATCTGAAACAAATTACTTATACACATATTGCAATGTAATTATATACTAAGCAATTTTTTGGTGTTGGTCGTTTTGGTTGGCTGCCTGACCGTCTGCCTGTCGTAGTCCTTGTGTCACTCACACTTATCTCTCTCTCACACACACACACACACACACATGCACACAAGCACACTCACATACACAACCACACACAAATATATATATGTATATAGACATGTACAACGCTGAAAGAGCCCGTGATGCCAACTAAAACGCAAATCCTTGTTATCCGCAAATTTATCACAGACAAATCTGTCAACACAACAACAAACACTACAGACACAGTACAATGGCGGCATCAGCAATGGAACCGCAGCCATCGTAGCAGCAACTGCCACGGGCACAACTACCACGCCGCTGGTCACGCAACAACAGCAGCAGCAGCAGCAGCAACAGCAACAGCAGCCACCCGCACCTCTGACAAACGGACACGCCATGGAGCAACTGCAGCAGCAGCAACAGCAGCTACCGCATACGCCACAGAATGTGCTCAGCATTGTGAGTTTGGCCAACACAGCAAATGCAAAAAAAAAAATAAAGAAGAGAAAAAAAATTATAATAAAATATACAGTCAAGAAAGAAAAAAAATATATACAAATAAACGAGAAGAAAAACTTTGGAGCAATGCAAGCAATTCCAAAAATATACGTACTATAAGTGTGCTTCTCTCCGTTTCAGGCTTGCTCTGGTTAGCACAGTGTAGTTTATTATTTTTTTCTATGTCCTTAGCTGGACAGCTCCTTCATTAAGCAAGTCCTTGTTCCCCACAAAGTTGGGCCACATTTATTGCAGCTTTCGCATTAGCATCGCCTTTGCGTATTTTTTATTTGTTTTTAGTTATGCGGGAAAATAATTGTTATGAATTGCATAGCAGTGTGATTTTGTTGTGTATGGTTTTAATTCAAGTTGATGATTTATAATGATTTGACAACAGACTTCGACTGCAAGCAAGAAAAAATGGATGCTCCGAAATTAAGCAATAATGTATATGAGGAAACAAGTTGTGTATTAATTAATATTAATAATTTATTCATATTAAAAAAAAAAAAATACAAAGAACACAAAATTTACACTGTAAAAGAAACATTTTTGTACAGGAATATAGCACTAAGTTAGTCATACAATCTTCGTTCAATGCGGTTTGATTATACATGAACCAAAACAACACTTAAAGTAAATCTAAAATTCTTGAAACGGCAACCGCCCTCAGAAAATGCCAACACCTTTTGCATTCAAATCAAAACATTTAGCTCAAATTCCCGTGGCTCTGCCATTTGCATGTTGTATTTCCTTGATTTTAGGCGACTCGAAGCGGTTTTTTTTTGTTGTACAAATATTTTTGAAGCCGCATCAAAATGCGAGCGACCTTTTTGCTGGCATCGCATCGCGTGCCTCAACCAAGCATTTTATAAACTAAAAAGCGTTAAATGTCATTTACGGTAACCCAATCCTAAACCTGCAATTCCATACCACCATCGACCTATGTTATCGTTAGCCATTTATGCGGCCAAAGTTTTTCACGCCATTTCACTTTGCCCCCCACCGGCAAATGGATCCAAAGAAAAAAGCGAAAATGTTCGCTTAACATGCAATCCAAATCGTACAGAGAATATATATATATGAAGCTTTTTTTTTGTTTTTTAGATTTATATGTCAACAATGCGCATTTAATACGATCATCGAACGGTTCCCAAAATTAAGTTGGCGTCATTTCTATTGCCTACTTTACAGGGGTTGGTTGCTCGAATTTATTTGCTATTATTGTTATTGCAGTCGTTTGCAGTGCACTTTCATCGTGTGCGTAAATTGACAATAATATGATATTATTCAGACCTCTCTACACATAAGGCTAGGTAGTGAGAGAGCGAGAGAGAGAGGGGGAAAGAGTGTGTGGCATGGGCATGGCCTGTTTGGCTGACAACAATGCCGATAGGCAACACTGCCACATGTCATTGTGCATATTCAGTTTTAATAATGCAAAAATACAAATGCAAACATTTCCGCAGGGTCGTCGCTGGGATTTGGTTGCAATGTGGGCAGGGGGCGGTGTAGGGGGGAATGGGAATTGCAGCAATACTTGCGCGACAGTTTTATTGCATAAGTCAACAACAGTCTGTGCCACAAATGTACTATTGCATAGGTTCGACTGTCTGTCCGCTCCGCCACTCTGTCGAACTCTGTGTGCTCAGTAACTTTTTTATTGGGTCACCCACACAGATACACACAGCGGTGCATATTGTGTGTGTGCGTCCCATTCTGCAAACCACTTGAAAATTGTATTTTCATTTCAATTGTTTATTTATTGCGGCACTTGTTCGCATTCGATTTCCCATGCAGCGCCAACAGCAACAGCAGCAGCAGCAACAACAACAACATTCAGTTCGTAGACGAATTGTGCCGCAAAACAGATCTCTCAACATATCCACCAAATTTTTAATAATGCAGTTGTACCCAATATGCAATTGCTAATAAAAGTGCTTTTATATTGCATATTTGTCATTCGATTTATTGTAAATCTGTTTGATGCAACAGTTTAAACAAAATTAAACATTAAACGGTAAACAGTAAAAGAGTTCTAATCTTTTTAGATCACTCAGTTCCAGTTTGACATTTGAATTAAAAATATTTAAAAATAACTCATTCGCATATCAAATTTTATTTGTACTTTTATTGGACTCATTAATAAATCTTTCATGAACCATGAAATGGTTCGAACGAAAGACCGAGCTCAATAAGCTTTTAATTTAATAATATTGAGCTACAATTAAGTATATTTATAAATATAAATCAAGGCTTAAGCGGAATACTCAATTGCAATGGCGATTTAAGAGCGAAATCGGTATCAGAAAAAACATGTGAGCTTAAGCTTACAGAATACAGGATATGCCAACCACACGTTACTAATTAATTTGTACAATTTGTTTTCGTTCTCGTTTCTGCCACAGTCCACAGTATTGATTGCCAATGAGGCAGCGGAGCCACAGCAAAACTCAGCGCTGCCACATGCCGGTGGAGGCGGAAGTGGAACTGGTGGTGGCGGTACGCCTGGCTCACCGCTCAGCACCTCACCGTCCAGCGTCCCAGTTGCTGCAACAGCAATCACACTCAATGGCAGCAGCAACAGCATGCCCAACGAAGGTAACATCTCGGGCAACACATCACCCATTGCTACCGGCGAACCGCTGTTGCAAACACCACCAGCAGCACAGCAACAGCAGCAACAACAGCAGCAGCAGCAACAACAACAACAGCAGCATAATATAATCAGCAGTCCAACAGCAGCAACTTCAGTGACCGCCACATCTATAGCAGCGGGAGCATTGGCAGCCACCAGTAGCAGCCTATCGACCGGACTACTGCCAACAGCTGGACTGGATAGTAATGCTAATTGTGGCGTTGTGCCCGCAACCACCACGCAGGTGATTGCGCATCTAAATGCAGCCGCTGCGGCGGCCAGTGGCATTATGACCGCCTCCGTGCAGTCACCGAATGTGGTCAGTAGTCTTAGCAGCGCTCTAGTCCCGGCACAGTCGGTCTCATCGGTGTCTGCCGCCATTGCTGCAGCTGCCTCGCTGGAGGCCAAGAGTCAGCCCAAACGTTTGCACGTCTCCAATATACCGTTTCGGTTCAGGGATCCGGATCTGCGAGCCATGTTTGGGGTAAGACAACTGCAGCCGCTGGCCACAACACCAATTTGCTTAAGCTAACCGCCATTTTATTCCACCTGCAGCAATTTGGCACCATATTGGACGTGGAAATCATCTTCAATGAGCGCGGAAGCAAGGTAAGTTGCCCGGATGGCTTTTCTCCTCATTGCTGTTGCACGAATCATTTAAATTATGCACATAGCGAGCACTTGAAGCATTGTCAAGTCAACTGAACTCCGGTTGGTCCAGGTACGTTGCTAGGGCAACCTTGGTCCATTGAATTACGGCTACAAATATTACTGGATGTCCTTTTTGCTGCTCGTAAACGACTATGGCTGTAGCACAAATAGCAGCAACAACAACAACAACAACAAGAATGCCAATAACAACTCGCAATGCTCCAAGCAGCATTCTTCTGGCGGCATTCGTTCACAGATATAATTGCATAGTTACGGGCACTGTTGCCATACGACACGAAGATGTGCATAATTTAAGGCGCTGATGCATGCCTCAAGATGCTCTCCCAGCATGTCCTTGGGCCCGTCCCCACGCTCCCTTCATCCCCAGTCTGTTTGTGTGTATATTGTAGCTTAGCATTAAATCTTAGTAAAAACTTTGTTTTAAATCGTAATTTATATATATATATAAATATATATATATACTCTGCCTATATATACTCAATATGTTTCTTTAATTGCATGTTTGATTGCGAATGGCAGGGATTCGGTTTTGTAACATTCGCTAACAGCAACGATGCAGAACGAGCACGCGAACGTCTACACGGCACCGTGGTTGAGGGACGCAAAATCGAGGTGGGTGCATGCAACCAATACCATAAACCATACACACAGATACATCTGTCTCACACCAACACACTTACACATATCGTTCTATTCCGGTCACATGGCAAGCTATTTTCTGCAACTAATTGTAAAACTATCACAAGTTTCTCATTTAATATAAAAAAAAAGGATCCTGTGTGCGAGAAGTTGGATTTTAACTTGCGGCATTTGCGTGTATCGACGTGATGTAGAAAATTTATCACGTATTTTTCAGTTACGTAAACTGCATTTAAGTTGTCCTCTTTTTTGTTTTTTTATTTTTTTTTTGTCGATTACGAAATGTATTTAATGTCGGATTCACGCATTATCAGCGCATTTTTGTTTTTACATTTAAATTGAACGATTGATTTTTAAATTATTTGCCGTTTTTATTTTATTGCCTTTAATTAAAAGTTTTTTATCCATTTATTATTTGGCATTTTCTTTCCGTATTAAAGTGAAGTGGACAACCGCAAATAATTTCCATTTAAAATGTGATGAAAATATGCAAAGTGCCAACAGATATTTATACAAGCACATTAACTGTGACGTCCAAAAGGCAGTAACTTTTTATTATTTATTTCATTTAATTAACTGCACCAGCAATATTTGTTATCTACCTAATTACGCGAAATGTGCAAAAGAATATTATTTGTGACATTATATTTATTTTATATTGACTTTTTCAATGCGTATAACTACGAAGTTCAGGGAAGCGGCATTAATATATCTAAACTTTGTCCTTATCCAGTTGCCTTAACCGCTTAATAAATATTACCACACTCAACACACACACACTTACATACACCCATACACCTCATTCAATTGTAATCGTTTAACTAACACATTTATTTCTACGTTCTTTATACATGCGATATGCGATATGAACAATATATATATAAAAAAAAATATATATGTGATGTGTACATGATATTAAAAAATAAATAAATAAAACAAAAAACCATCACCAATACCAACCACGCTCGCTGCAACTCAACTCAACTCAACTCGTTACTTTGAACTCGTTACTCGAACTCTCTCTCTCTCTCGTTACCAATAACCATTGTGAAGGTGAATAACGCCACTGCACGTGTACAAACCAAAAAAGTGACAGCAGTACCCAACGGTAAGTTGCTTTAACACACTCACACACACACACAGACACACACATACACCTGCTTTATACTCATACACACACACACACACACACACACACACACACACACACACGGAAAGACAGTTACTATTACACCTACATGGAGCTAGTGTAAGCCATGTAGCGAAACAAGTTTAAATGTTGAACAAAGAAATGCAATTACCTCTGGCCTAGAAGAACTATAAGAAATGAGAAGCACGCAAACGGAAACTTAAATACCAACAATAACAACAATAAACTTTAACACAACTGCCATTACATTTGACTGGCCGTTGCCGTTGTTGTGTTTACTATTGCTATACTTTTCGTTTCTTTTTTTTTTTTGTTTTTTTTTTTTGTCTTTCGTTCATTTTTTGGTTTAATTTTTTTTTTTTGTGGTTTGTTGAACTTTTCGCATCAACTTCTTTGGTGGCTGCTGAAATTTTAACTGAAGAACGAATGTTTCTTAATGAAAATGTTTTTGCTCTTGAAAAATGGATGTTACTTTTGATTTCATTTGAAGAACTTGTTAATAGAGTATATGCCAAGGCGTTTAGCAATCAAAAACTTGTTAACTGAATTGCCCACAATGCCACACTAACGACTTTCACTAGAATTGCGGCGGTTAGCCAACAACACACACACATATACACACACACACACTCAAACACACATCTATATTCGTTCTAATTTTTGTGTTGTTGTTCGTTACGTTTTCTTGATTTGGTATTTACTGTCGATGCATTTGAATTCATATTACCGATTACTGATGATTGAACAAATTCTGATAATGGAAAAACAACCAACTTTTTTTTATTTTGTTTTCTCTCACACACCACACAGTTGTACTGACCAAAGACGGTGCCATACCGGCTCCAGCTCTAGGTGAGCAAATCAGAGAACAAATTAAAATGAAAAAAACCATAGAAATGCATTTGTTATATATCTTGTAACATTGTAACTTGCTTGCTAAAATCCAAAACAAAAATAGAGACAATAAAGCCTCATGCATAATTAATCCACACTTAATGTTGTCTATAAACGTAGGCATTGAAAAGCAAAATAAAACCAAAAAAAATAAACTTGCAATGCATAACCGTTAAATGTAACACCCAACTCTACTATAAACAACTGTTCAGGCATGTTGCACGCTCAAGGTGGCATGATACAAGTCCCAATATTGGCTTACTAAATGAACTAAACTAATTGAACTTTAATACCACTATAAGCATTGCCACTCACAGTCCCAGCATGAATAATGTCTAATAAATCCATTGTTTAACTTGATTATACACTTGCTGTATGTATATTCCTTCACATAAAAGTTTGCCTCCACAAATATATAAAACAAAAAGAAACACACAATTCTTTACTGAAACTTCAACTTATAGATATTAATTTTACCTTTAGCTAGAATTGTTCTTTACTAGAATATATTTGGTTCCTTTTGCCTTTTGTGTGGTTTTTAATGCAAAGTTCTATCGGTTTGAACTTCTTAGATATATATTCAATGTTTCATTTCGTTTGCAGTGCGCACAATTTCATTTGATGTTGGGGTTGCTTGAAAGTTTCTTCTCCAACAAATCGAACTGCAAAAAAATGGCAATAGCTAAAAAGTTTTGCACGCCATGTATAATAAATAAAGCTGATGAATAAATCGTCTTTCCATGCAAGTTGCCATTAAAAAGTATTCACAGCGCAAAATCTATACTTTACGTTTGGTCAAATACGATAAGCCGCTTATCAAACCAACCAACCAACCCGAACAAAGCGAGCAGAACTGAAGCAGCTGAAACGTTGCCAGCAGCTGCTCCCATAGAGTTTTTGCCATCATGTGGACAGGACATGCAAAACGCTATTGTATCGCCAACAAACTTGGATCTAGACAACCAACCAAGCAACCAGGCAGGCAGTCAGACAAACAAACAGACGGACCAACCGACCAACCAACCAACATGAGATGGGATGCTGCACATGCAGCTACCAAGAGCGTCTTTAGTATTTTTTGAGACCAGCTTCCTTTTGGGGCAATTGCCTTTACTTTAACTGGGCTTGGATTTTCTTGCCTTGCTGCTTGCCACGTGCACGTAATGCGCTTCATTTGCGTTGCACTAAATGCGAGCTGTGTGGCCGTTGGGACGGCAAGCTATTTATGCGGCTGCCGGCATATTATAGAAGTAGACAGAGACAGTCAGTTCGATACGTATACGAGGGGGATGGGATACGTATAGATGCAGGGATCTTTTAGTAGCAGGCACTGACTGTATCACGTTTCGAACTGAAATGGTTGGCAGCATTAGCAGTAAGGGGAATGCGACCTTATGTTGTTGTCCTGCTCGTTAGGTTGGCGGGTAGTCAGGATAATTACAAATAAACCACAAAGTTGCAAACATGTTGCGGCACACACATAAATTTCACCAAAAAAAAAAAGAATGAAAAATATAGAAAAAGAAAACTTTCCTTGAACTCCAGATGCCTTCATATCCTTCGGCTATTGCAGAAGCATTTTATTTTGACTCCATAGTCGTTGTGTCTTATGCAAATGTGTTCGTTTCGCACACATACACACAAACTGACACACAAAAAATAATAAAATAAAAAAACTCTCCATCTAACACATTCATGTGCATTTGAAGGAAAGTTAGTCGTCTACTTGGTACTCGTATGTTGATTTCCCGTCTGCACGAAACACCCAACATCCATACATATATGCATATTATTTATTTTCGTTTATTTTTTCCTTGATCCTTTGACATGTTAAACTTAATGTGCCCCAGCCAACACCATGAACGACAACTCTGACTGCCTGTCTGTCTGTCTATTTGACATGAATTTCTCTGCATTTTTCGATTTTTCGCTAGTTATAGTTACCCTTTTTATTGGGATATTTATTTAGAGTCGATCGTAAGAAGATTACTTTGAAAATAACCAAAGGGCAATAGTAAACATTTGACATTATTTGTTATTTTACTGACATTTCCATAGCATCATTGTGTTGTGAACACTGAAGCATTTGCTATTTTCTATTGCATACTTTTCTGCGGCACTGCATCGCCATGTGTGACTGCATTTGGTTTATATTTTGTGACACGAAATACAACAAAGCATGCAAAGCTGTAAAATAAACTCAAACAATGGTTAAGTCAAAGTAAATAGAGCCAAAATATTGTTGAACAGAAATCGCTTTCAGCACAATTTCGTCAAAATTCATTTGTTTTGACTGCTTGCATATATTGGAGCTGAATGCGTTATAAGTAAAATGAAAATTAAAACAAAAAAAAAAAAAAAACTGAATATTGCTATACAAATACAACTAAATCAATGTTTGTTGAATGCAAATAAGTGCATGTTCTGTGCTGACCCCACTCCCCGCATCAAAATAAATTGAAAGATTTTGTAAACTATACTGTTACTGCAATAGCACGGCCCAAAACCTGTAAATATAATTGAGCTGCGTGTCATGTAAAAAAAAAAGAAACAGAGTTACTTTCTATACGTACGTGTATATAAAATGACAATATAAATGTAAAACTAATGCAAATATTTTCTCTTGACTTTTTCATGCCTACAACAACGACAACCACAACACCATAATAAATAAATCCAACGAAAAAAAACACAATAACAATTTCTATAAATTGAACTGAGTGCAGTTTGCGTACAATGGCCTGAAGGTAAGCGTTCTGTCACGTTTTATTTGAATTTTTTGCTATATTTGTATTTTGTTTTTATTGCCTGCCTTATTCTGTTATAAATTCTCAAGTAATACACAAAACTGAACCAATCACACAAAATCACACACACACACAGAAAAAAATAAGTTATATTTAATGTATACAAGGCCCTTTCATTTTTTAATATAAGTATAAGCCATGGAATATTTACTAGCATGTAAGCGACAAACTTCCCACATACATATATGACAAAGAAAATATGAAAATAAATGCTAGGCAGGTCTACATAACAAGTAAATATCTCTGGGTTCTATGACAGATCAAGAAATCATTGTTGAAATCTCATTAATTTTTCAGCTAACTACAAGTTTATTCCAATTTTTTCTTTTTTTTACTTATACATTATTTTACTTGTCAGGTTCCGCGTTAAACTGTATGCATACTTATATTATACTCGTATCCTACATAATTATTATAATACTAAATATTTGATGACTGTTTGTAACTGTTTCCATTTGTTTTTTTTTTTTTTTGCGTCATTTACTTTGCATATAATCCAAAAGACTTGAACCATAAATAGAAACAAACGATAATTTAAGAAACAAATTGAAAAGAATAATCTTAACGTACCGCTCGATAATCCATTCTAAAAACAGGCGCGTCGCCATTTACATTCCAGTCTTGATGATGATGATGATGATGATGATGATTTTATGATCATCTAATGATGGTTATGAATTTAGCATATTGCGGCTGTGTTGTCTTATGCATACTACTTAACTACTATATACTATTTATAAATATATATATTCACTATATATTTATATATATATGAGCAATCAATATCATTTTGTTTGACACATCTTTTAACAAGTTTTGTTGTATGTGCGTTTTGTTTTTATGTCCTGAGTTCGTTTTACGTTTTGACATATTTTGGTCTGGTACTTTGGTCTGAACATTGTCGGAAATGCTCCTTAGCGTAATTACTTATTACTTATGTATACACTCACAAGCATACACACACACATATATCACCACACAAAACCACACATATACGAATGTTTGTAACTGGTAACTTTCGTCGCGTTCCAAGCTGCTTAACTTAGCACTAGACCTAAGCAAGACCACAACAATAAAACCAAACCAAACCAAACCAAACAAAAACCGAACCAAGAGATCTCCATTCACTGCATCCCCGAATTCGATATGTAAATACAACACACACACATACATTCAAATATACTCAAATACAACCCCACAGACACACACACACACACACATATATATACACACACACACACACACAGCTCATCCAAACATCGAATGTTACGCAAAAAAAAATCTAACGAAATTTATGAACGTGTAATATGAACCTTAAGGTTATCGGCTGCCTGTGGCCGCGGCTTGGCCATTTTTGGGGGCGCCCGTTGGTGCCGGAGCGCCGACGTTGCAACCGATGGCGCTGCAGATGCCACTGCCAGTGGCGCAAGCGGCGACAATGGCTACAGCGCCGCACAACGCACCCACGCCCACAGCAGCCCAGGCTGCCACGCCCATTATGTTAGCGCAACGCCATCCAACGCACGGTGCTGTAACAGCGCAAACTGCAGCAGCAACGACACGGCGGAGGTACATTGAAAAGTTTCGATCGCATTTTGTTGAGTGTGTGCGCCAAAAAAAGCAGAATTCAAAAATTGATAAAAATCGCTGATTCACAGAGACACACACAGAGACACACACTCAGACACACACAGACACACACACGCAGACACTGCGAGACAAAACTACAACAGCAACAGCAACAAGTCACAAATTCTTAGCTATGAGATCTGTACCATATTACCTACATACCAAAAATATATATTTGTTGTCTTGTTAATTTGGTTACGCATTTGGGTTTGACTATATGCTAAGTACTACATACATATATATTGCATACTTTTTGGCGCCCTTGAGATTGCATTGTTCTTCGGCTAGGCACACACACACACACCACACACACACACCCACACACATAGACATAAACTTAAACACAACGAAAAAACAACAATAAAATCCCAAGAATCAACCAATCAATCAACCAACCAACTAGTGGCAATTTTCACATGACAACTGTAATTAGCTATTAAGTATGGAAAGGTTTTCTAGCTTTAACCATAGTGTACTTACTATCTAATGTATATCGTAATTTATAACGTACCCTTTATCGTGTGACGGTAGCCAATTTATTGCGCAGCAAACATTTTTTAAGGCATTTCTTTAGAGCATTAGTTTTTTTTTAGCATATCTCGTACTCTTTGCTCTCTCTCTCTCTCTCTCTCTCTCTTTCCCCTAAATATCTCTCTCTGTTTATACTCTCGATATGTTTTTACTTGGCAATTTTGCACGTTTTAACTTATGTGTTTTCATTGCTTTGGACTAGAACCAAAAAAAAAAAAATAAATATTTAAAAAATTACTGTGGATTAGAATATTGAAAAAACAAACAAAAAAAAAACAATAATAATTGTTACTCGCAATGTAATTGTTGCCACATATTTAACGCGTTACGTTTACAATTTGTTGCATGCGACCAAAAATCATGGCCGGAAGTTTTGTACTTGATTGCTTAGCGCTAATGCTTTTTCATTTGTAAATACAAAAAAAAATTGAAATTTAACTTTAGTACTCGAAATGAAAATTGTCAAAAGTGATATAAAATTGATCAATCTTCTGACATGCTTATAACTATGCAAATTTAATTATAATTGCATAGCAACCAAATGAATTTGTAATTTGGTGTTTGGCTTATGCCTATCAATTATGATTTGTGCGTTCAACTTTCAACCAGCGCTGCGTAACAGTTGCCACAATTATAGCTGAGGTCATCAATTATGGCCAGCAGCTCGCTTTAATGGTGCTTATTGCCACCAAGCTGCAAACTGTTTGTTTTTGGTGACAATATTGCTTGTTAATTGCGCTCCAAGCATCCCAGAATCAATGATATTGATTGATATCCAGCTAATAATATATTTAACACACATTGCGGTAACTGGACCTGAATTCAATCAAATATACGCACAGTTGTTGAAAGCTAACAGCTAACAGCCAACAACAGCTAAACAACAATTTGAATGAGGGTTATTAAACTCGTAGGATTTTTCACCTATTTGTCGTTCATCTACAAGCGTTGTCCATTCGGCACTATCACTACATAGTTTAATATATATGTGTTTTGCTAGTTTTGATTGTATTTTAAGGTTGAAGGGTTTTTATATATATGAACATTACCAACTTTATAAATATATATATATATATATATACGTACAACGTTTTTTTTTATTATTGCTTTGTATACGAAAACCTCTAATATACACTCACCAAAATTAAGTGCAATGAGTTTTTTGAACAACAAAAGTCTTGCCGCATATACACGTAAAAAAAAATAAATTCTATATATGTTTATACTAAACTGCAGATCGGTCTAATGTTTTTCGTATTGTTAATGGATGATCATATAAAGTCGTAATAAAAAACAAAACTCTGCGTAGCATTTCTTGGTAATTCAATGTTATAATGTTAAGTATGTTTCGAACTGAATCCCCCTTTATATGACTGACTTCACGTATGTCTTATGTATTGTTATATGTATATACCAAAATCATCTCAACGCTCAATCGATACTTAAACTATATACATACAAACAGTTACTACATAATGCCTAGTATTTGCTAAACATATACTATATACTATATATATTATATATATATATATATATATATATATATATATATATTTACTTATATAAAAAGAGAGAAAAACTAACCGCATGAGTTTTATGTTCTTTTCTTTTCCTTTTTTCTACTTTTTGCACACGAACACAAAACAAATACACGCGAAACATATATAAAATGAAAAACCGTGTGTACAAACACCCACACACAACACACACGCACACTTACAACACTCACACACACACACACACTTACTGGTAAAAATGTTGTGTAAAAATCGTTGCAAAAACAAACAAAACAAAAAAAAAATCAATCAAAAATCAAAATCAAAAAAAAAAACCCTTAAAAAATCGTTTGGCCGCCTCACAGCCGCCGTAGCCGCCGCCGCTGCCATGCGTGGAGTTGCCATACAACGTGGACACGTGGGCGTGGTCGGTGCCACACCCTTCCATCATCCCCATCATCCGCACCATCATCAGGCGTTGGCCGCTGCCGTCGCCCAGCAGCAACAGCAACGTCAAGTGGCCGCCGCTGCCGTGGCCGCAGTAGCCGCCCAACAGCAGCAGCACCAGCAACAACAACAGCAGCAGCACCAACAGCAACAGCAGCAGCAACATCAACAGCAGCAACAACAACAGCAGCAACAACAACAGCAACATGCCGCAGTAGCCGCCGCTGCCGCTGCCCAGCACTCACAGCACGCCGCTGCCGCCGCCGCAGCCGCTGCTGCCGGCCACACACATCCGCATGCCCATGCGCACGCTCTCGCTCCTCAGTTGGCCCAGTTGCAGCCGACGCTGCAGGCTGTCGGAGTGCCCACTGCCGCTGGCAATGCTGCGGCTGCTGCCGCTCAGCAACATTCGGCGCTGCAGCAATCGTTGGCTGCGGCCGCAGCTGCACAGAACTCGGGCGTGGCTGGTAATGCGAACGCTGCTGCCGCCGCGGCGTATGCGGCACGCCTCTCTGCTGCAACATCCCAAACGCCGGCCGCTGCTGCTGCGGCTGCTGCTTCCATGGCAGCGTCGGCCAATGCGGCCAACAATGCTGCAGCTTTGCATGGATTTGCGCCGTAAGTAAAGCCCACACAACGTTGCCCCAAAAACTCGTCGTCGTCGCAAATATCGCCACAAAAAAAAAAAAAAAAAAAAAAAATGAAATAAATCTATATAAATACAATGTAGCTCTTAGTTGTATCTTGATTTGATTATTATTTTTTGTTAAATAATCTTTATATATATTGAATGTAGTTTTAGCGCACTTACTTTTTGTTCATGTGGTGTCTACGCTCGCTCTCAATCGCTTACTCAACAATCAACAATCAAAAGCTGCAGCAACTGCAGCAGCAGCAGCAGCATCAGCAGCAGCACAAACAACAACTGGCAAACTTGTCTTGCATGTTATCAATTATCACGCATACGCCTTGTTGTGCCTACTCCTGCTGCTGCTGCTGCTGTTGCTGCTGCTGTTGCTGTTGTTACCAAGACACGCATCATCATTTTATACACTTAACCCCACTCCCCAATTAGACCCACCCAACCATAATCCACATCACACCCACCAAACCAACCAACCAATCGTCGAGCGCAAAGTTTATCCATAGCTTTAAAGTTGTTTTTGTCTCTCTCTTTTTTGGTCTATGCGGTGATTTATTTTTTTAAATATTTAGCTACCTTGTGTGTGTAACGTTTTAATAAGTATATAACTATATATATCTATGCATAGCGTCACATTTGCCTAATGTACCATCTAATTCAATCGCAAGTTTAGACTTGCCTCTTGTATAAAAATCAACTACAACTACAACAACAACAACAGCTACAAGCAGCAAACTGCAAATTAACGCACGCCAACTACTACATTATCTATTTAAGCTACTTAAAAGCATATACATACTATATACATATATATTTATATTTGACCGAGAGCAGTTTTTTGGCATCGTTGAATATATTTATGATTTATTGATTACTTTTTTTTGGTTACGGGGACGTACCTCATTGTATATTTTGTACCACTAGGCGTATGATGAACTTAAACTAAACAAAATGTTATTTTATTTGTTTTTTTATTTCTTTCTCATAATTAATGCGTCTGCTGCTGCTGCTGTCGCGCATGTTTCCTTTATATCTCAATTATTATTATTTCTATATACACACAGACACACACACACGTTAATTTTGATTTGTGTTTTCTTACTGTGGCTGCTGTTCTATAACTAAATAATAATAGCGAATGAATAACGATGATAACGATGATAATGCTGCTACCATTATATATGAAATCTACCCAACTAATTAGCTAGGTGCATGAGTGTCTGTTCTGTCTATTAAAATGCAGAAGTCGAGCAAGAAATGTTTTTTCGTAGTATCGGGCAAATGGAATGTGTACTCGTACTTACCATATATGGTTGATTATCCTTGCTAGTGTTCTACTTATGATTTACTTATGCATATGCATTACCTAACTATCAGCTCGTCATCAATTAGGAACGGGACAAAACGGAGGTTATAGTTATAGTTAGAAGAACAAAATTTGTGTTAGTCGCTAGGCAATTGAGGTGGTTTCCTTTTTTGGTTTACTGCTAGGATTTGCCAGGAACTTTCTTACGTTTTCAGTTACGCCTTAAGTTTCAGTCATTTTACCCAATGCACCCGGTACAAAAAAAAAAAAAAAAAAAAATATAATAAAATAAACAGACAACGGCAAAGACAAAGTTTTGGCATCAATTTAAATATTATTTTACCCATTGGCAAGCAACCAAACTTTGCCTTTGCCTTCTGCTCATAGCGCCCAAAACCAAACACCCACACACAAGTGCGTTAAAAACCGAATGAAAAAATATAAATCCAACAAAAAATGAAATATATTAAAAATGTTTTGAATTTTGCTTTTAAGTGCTAGCAATGTGACAGCCAAGTCAGATTAATGAAATCGCCAATTAATAATAAAATAGTTGAATCTTGATCTGGCTCGGCTGACAGACAAATAATTGAAAACCAGTCACCAAATCAATTATTAATAAATCGAATCTTTTTTATCCTTCTTCCTTGAATACACAGCGTATACTATGATCCCTTCTTAGCAGCCGCTGCTTCCGCTGATCCAAATCTACGCTTCCAGGTAAGTTTATCCAAATTGTATCCAATATTAACTAGTTCAGCGATAATCATTTAGGCATATAGACATTGTGTAAATATGTTAAGATATGTTATTGTCTAGTTAAATGCAGGCTAGCCAAATAAAACCAATAACATTTTCAAAATATATATGCATATATATATATATATATAATATATAAATTTTACAGGCAGCCAAACCGGTCACTGAAGTTCCAGCCGCACAGCCAGCCGCCATGTTAAATGTAATGAAACCTATTCAAATTTATACGCTAACCGTACAAAAACAAAACCGAATTAAGAACGCTCTCTTAACTATTTATTATACTCTCGTACATATACATTTATTTACACTTTACTTTACGTTTTTGATGGTAGCTTGTGAAAGACACCAATATTTGACTTGGTTTTTTTTTTTTTTTTTTGAAAAGAATATTCATTTTATTTGTTTTATATATATATATACCTATTATTTTTGTTTAGTTATTGCATTTCACACTAACGACGCGTTTTGATCTACACTTTTTCTATACATACGTACAACATACACCTTGAGAAATGATTTATTCTATTGTTTATTATACTTTGGTAACTGGTCGTGCAATTGCGTCTGTAAAATTTTGTCATATACAAGCGTATATACATGTAAATCACAACACAAAAAAAAAAAAAAACAAACAAAAGATATATATACATATCTTATAAATACACACTATAAAGGCAAAGGGATGAGAGTTATTAACAAATTATCATACATAAATAATTGCTTTTATGTATTTACATATTCGTATATTTATGTATTTTACCATTGTGTTTGAATACTTAAGTCTCCTTCTACTTATAAAGTGATTACTTATTTGCATCCTTAATTCATTTTGTTAACGCATTTTTCCAACTATCTAAGTATTACATTTACACGCGTAGTGTTCAAGAATAATGCCAACAGCTACAATTACAATTACAACAACAACAACAACAACAACAAATGCTTTTGATCAGCGGCCCATACATTGCATACTTTCAGGCTGCATGCCGCTCTCTCTCTCTCTCTCTCTATCTATCTATCTATCTATCTGTCTCTCTATTTTAATTTCAATGTGCGAAACGAAAGAACTTGAGACTTTATTTAATCTTTATTTTCATGACATTTCAATCAAGAGATCACGCAACTTTTGGTTTGTGTTTCAATTTTGCTTTCGCAATCAATTTTATACATATCATACTGATATCTACATACAAATCTATAGTTAAGTAGCATATAAATAATTATTCTTCAATGCTGTGAACATTTTCGTAATTACTAAGTATGTATTCTTTTTTGGTTAATTTTTTCACGACTTGTACAACACACCCAACAACAACCACAACAACAACTGCATCAAATATCGTTACAACATTATCGAATCTTAAAATGAAAAAAAAAAAAAACTAAAAACAAAAAACAAAAACAAAAATTACGAAAAACTATACCAAATATATCGAAAAACTTACAGCGCCGCACTGTGACTACGCTAAACAGTACCCCACATACGATCAACCGCATTCCGGTACCACAGAATGTTTTGGTAAAAATAATCATTTTTAGCTAGCAATTTGAAAAATGCAAATACAATAATCAATTAAGATCCATTTGAGAATTTGTTCGTTGTGCCCAATTATTGAATTTTGGTTCTGTGAATGAATGTTGTCACACTTTGTTTTATAATTTTCTTCGTGGAACTGCGCTTTATGTCTTGCACCCATATCTAAGTTACTTAAACTTAATCCTAGCTCTAAATTATATGCCATAAGTTCTTTATAATACCCTGCACATTTGGCGCTTTTGTTTGTAGCATTTACTTACCACTTATGTATATCCAATGGATCTTTGGCATCTTGGGTTTGTAGTTTGAATTCGCTGGTCACCACAACATGTTTTCTATTTTCATGTACTATATATATATATGTATATATTTATAAATATATATAGATATATATATAAAGAAAATCACACTGATATAATTTGTTTGCACTCCCTTAACGTTTTTTTTTACGGTTTAGGTTCTAAACTCTTTTGCCATTTTGCTCTCTCTATCACCTGTCGCTAGTTTTGTCGTTGCCGATGCATTTAGTCCTAACTGCGCCCCTTTAACACTCAATTTGCTTCACATTATTCCAGGCCACTGCTCCGCTGTTAAAGACACCCCTGTCTCAGGCCCAGCAGCAGGCGTATGCCACGGCGGCCACCACCTACACGGCGGTCGCTGCCCGGGCCGCCTACGGAGCCGCTGCAGCTGCAGCTGCCCAACCAGCACTCGGCTATGCCACCGTAGCAGGGTAAGTGTTCACCACATGCCTCCATGTGTTCCATGTTGCTGTCTTAGCCATAGTTGCAGCTTCTCCACTCTCACAAATGCTCCACAAAACTCACAACTAAATCCACACCAAACTCATAATATTGAGCAGTATTCATATAATCTAATTATAAGGCTTTAACTTTAAATAAATTGTTTTTAGACTTGGTACATAGACTCAGATGAGCTTTTTTAGTTGGTTCACTTTCGATAGTACAATTATTCAAAATTTGTTTCATTTTACTTGCATATATATTTTATAGTCTATTTTTGTATTATTATGTTTTCCATATTTTTGTTTAATTAGAGCTTTGACTTATCCGTTATGTATGAAAATAATTTAAAAATCAACTTTATCCATTCAATTTGTATTATGCAAGTCGTATTAGTATTATATATGTATATCTATTATTTCAATATTATTTCCATATTTTATAAGTTTTTTATGCTAATAATTTTATAATTTACTAATCATTTGACTAATTAATATGATTTGATTCTCTTTCGTACAATTCTATAATCATTAAATAACTTATCGAGTGTAGAAAGAGTCTAACACCGAAAATCGGCGATATACAACTAACCACTGAAAACTTTTGCAAAACCATATCAAAACTAAACAATTTTTACTAAAATCATCCCAAATGAGATGGCCAAATTATGATGCTGAACCTTGAAGAAATACCATTAATTAAACCATTTTTATATGGAGAATCAAGATTTCATGTTAAGAAAAAATGTTGGAGCAAGAATCAAAATTAACAACTAATCAAGAAGAGCAATTACAAAAAGCACACAATAAAAGCACATTAATCAAACCTAACCCAAATGGAGTCATCACAAAACTATCGCATTACTAAAACATATTCATTAATTAATCATATTTATCTAACACGATGCAAACGAAATATTTTTAGTTACGCGCGCGAGTATGCGGATCCCTATCTAGGACATGGCATTGGACCCGTGCCCGGCTATGGGGTAAGTTTCCTTAACAAATCTAAACCACATTTTTGGCAAACAAACGATTTTCAAATATTTGTTAACTACTTACTTATTGCTTGATTTGTCCATCTACTCTACTATCTTTTCGCAGGCAACCATGTATCGGGGTGGATTCAATCGTTTTACGCCATATTAAAAAGCAACACAAGTCAGCCAAATAATGCACTTGAACTACTCTCGAAAATGCTCAAGTATGAACAAAAATTAGCCGTAAATACTCCTCCTCTACAGTGCAGTAAGTAGCAGTTAAATCTAAACCAATAGATGGAGATACTCAAATATCACAAAGAACAGACGCTCAAAGATTAACAAACAAAAACAACAAAAAAAAAACCCACTCAATACTTTATGGAGAGTTGAAAATCAAAGCTATAAGCAGCTGGCCACTAACTTGTGGCAAATTAAACTAAAATTAAAAAAAAAAAACAAAACAAAAAAAAATTGCAAATCAATGTCGTCCAACAAAAACAAATGCAGCATAAACAAAATATTTAAATGGCAATTAGTTTGCGAAACGTGCTTCATGCGTAGATTTTTACCAAAAACAAAAGCTGAAATTTTGTGCGGGAGATCAGAATTTATATATATATATATATATATGTATATATTATATATATATATATATATGTATGTATACCTACGGGATCTATAAATATTATACCTTTAGATATGGTATTTGTATATCAAAAATGAGCAATTTTATGTATTTTCAGGATACCCACTGAAAATCAACAAACAAAAAAAAAAAAACATATTTTGTTTAATAGTTTTGTTTATTAAGTTAGCTTTATATTTATATAATTATTTTTGTTTCATGTAATTGTTACATATAGCATTGTAGTTTGTAGCAAACAAGAAGCAACAAAAACAAGCGCCACACAACAAATTTGATATTATTTTTCTATAAATGTACGCAAAAAAGTTGCCAAAACAAAAAAAAACAAAACAACAAAAATTAAATGAAAATTTAAAACCATACCTTAATTTCATCATAAATTGTCACATCTCCATAGAATACTCATTATATTATTGTTGTTCGAGCAACAACAACTCTTTTTGTCAACGAATTTATTTTTTAAATGTTTTGCTCTGCTTTGCTTAATTATTGTTCCTAGTATTTTTATTTCGGCAGCTAGAACGCTAAGTCAACTCAATGAAAATAAAATTGCTCAACTTGTAGCGCATAAGCAAATGCAAAAGATCAACACGTAGACATATCCTTGGAATATACAATAATTATTACTTTAATGCGGCCGTAGCAGCAAAAAAAAAAAAAAAGAAAAAAAAGAATAATGAGTAATAAAATACAAATAATAATACATAATAGTTTTTAACTTCAAGCTTCCAGTGACAGAAAGATAGAATAAAAAAACAAAAATCAGAAATGAAAACGTGAAAATTGTGTAGTAAGCATTAATATAAAATACATTTTTAGCTCTTACTCCGTAGCACTTTCTTTGTGTGTTGTGCAAAAAGAACAAACAAAACGAAAAACAAAAAAAAAAAACTCCAAATTTATAAATTATAAATAACTTCACATCGTTTCAATGTCGTTCATTTTGGGTATAGAGCCCAAAACTTCCCTAAGCAAGCTAAGAATTTATTTTACACACTACAAAGTCTAACGCACACAATTAACTTTTGACGTTGTGGTACTTTGAAATGTTTGTTGGAAAACAGAAATCTAAAAACAACACAAAAACAAAAACAAATGAAAATGAAAATGCTCAAAAAGTAATATGACGTCGTTCTCTATTTCGATACTTAGGCAGCTACTGTCGCGAAATTTATACTTGTTGTTTATAAACAAAACTATGATAAAAACAAACAAATACCTTATATCCTTTAATTCGTTATTGTGTGTGTGTTTAATTGTGCAATCGCTCTTTAGATGTTCCCTTCAAATTTCTCCTTACGAATCAAACTAAATCCAATTATATATATATATATATATTATACGTACGTATATATGCTCCATTTAAGAGAGCAAATGGAGTCTATTGAGTCCAAAGAGCATACATTTTGTGTTTTATTCTACAATTCGATGTTTCAGATTGTATATATTTATGAATTTCTTTCTAACACACAAACACACACTCGCGCACACACACACAAGAGCAACTCGAAGCAACTCAAATTTGAAATGTTTACAGAATGTTTCTTTAAATATTATAAAAACGAAAATAATAATTAATGTTTTAAGCATAATTACGTTGACATTTTTCAAGCCAAAGTTTATATTTAAAAATGATTTTTAGTTAGATTTAGTTTTTATGCTGATGACAGACACAAAAATAATAAAAATAATACACATAATGAATAAATCAAATCAAACCCAACAATTGCCAAATTAAATGTAGCTTTCAAGTGAAATAAATAAATAGACACGTAATTAACTTTAACAAAAAAACAAAAACAAAACATTTTAAAATAGTGCAGAAACAAGTTGACGAATTACACACCAAAAAGTGAGCATACTTTTTGGTCGCACATACACGAAAAACTGCAAAAAAAAACACACCTTTGGGTTTGATGAACATGGCAAAATAAACCAAGTAGTTATTAAAACTTAAACATAATAGAATACATATAAAAATTTATAAACTCAACTTCCACCGCAAATTTTTTAAAACAAAAACAAAACACAATTTTTGTCTTAAGCAAGGTATGAACTAAAATAAACCTATAAATATGTAAAATGCAAATGCAACTCAATCAAACACTGCAGCTATAAATATATATACATACATACATACCTACTTATAAACGATAATATTTTAATTTTTATTTCATATTTCAATATTCTGTACGCCCCCCTTCTCCCTAAAAAAACACACCCCCATTCTAACACCCAGTACAAGAGCAAGAAAAAGAATGACGAGAATCTTTAAGCTGTAATCTGTAATCTGTAATCTGTGTAGTCTAACCATAAGCCAGCGCCGCTTTTGTTCAATTTCACATAGAGCATAGGCATTATATAAAGTATAAATATAAACTATATATATATATAAATATATATTATATGAAAAGGAAAAACACTAATCATTAAAGATGTGCCAAATTGTAAGTTGTACCATTTGTTTTTATCAATGGACAAAGCAAACAAATGCAAAACTCAAATTGAAATAAAAACCATATTAAAAATATATAAATTGAAAAAAAAAACTTGAGAACAGAACTCCCCCTCCCAAATATATGAACTCTCTTTTTGTTTTTTTAGACAACATTTAGATGATAACGGAAAATATTTTTAAAATTTAGCATTGTGTATAGAAACGAGAATTACGAGCTAAGCGTCCCAAGACGCTTCCTTACAAACAAAATTAATAATTGAACAAAAGAGACGAATAGTATTATATTAGCGGACTACCGCAACAATCACACACAGCAGTTCCCCCCTCCCTTCAGCCGACAAAACATGCTCAATACTTGTGTTCACTACACAACAATTTTACAATCACTTTAATTTATACACACATACAGATACAACAACAAAAATAATAGTATGGCTATACACAAGAAATAAATTTCATTACGAAAAAAAAGAAACTATTTATTGGTTAATATCAATTTTCAATTTGTAAGGTTGTGACAAATTGTAAACAAAAGCATAAAAAACATAAGAAAACAAACAAACAAAAAAAGGGAAATCCTTAAAAACGTGCAGAAAATGTAATAATGTATGCGAATGGCAAATAAAATAGTAAAGAGATACAAAAAAATATTTGAGATTCATACAAACGAAAAAAAAAAGAAAAAATGCAATAAAAATACATTTTAAAAATATGAAATACAATTTAAACTGGATTTTTTTCTATACCGATTAAAGTTATTCATGGATTTGATTTCTTGATTTCTATTTATTTGGCTAAAAGCAGGAGATGAGGTTAAGAGATGGCTCACATCAGCTGGAAGTGAACCGAAATTCAAGAAAATCGATGGCAATTATGGCAAATCCGGAAACCGTCTGCTGTTTTATATCCGAAAGCACACACGCACGATATAAGATGTTCAGTCAACAAATTTGCATGTTTGCAGTGGCAGTTTCTGCCTCATTACTTCAATCCCTGGCTATTATACTTATTGTGCGGTCATTATAAGCATTTAACACCTCTTTTGTCCACAAAGAGCGACATGCAAGGCTATTAACCCGATTAAATCAAAAGAGCCAAACAGCGTGTTCGCAATGGGCCTCTAATTATGCAAAGTCTTCCACATTTGATTGAAGAGTAACCGACAAGGCTCACACACACACACACACGCACACAGAGACACACACGCAAATACACATCCGCTGGTTTTAAATGGGCCATGACAAACCAGTCGACCACAGGAAGTAAACGCCCACACACTAACCTGCTAGTCACAAATGGGTGGCAGTTCAGTTTGTCGGTGCCGCCTGCCCTCGCGGTTGCCCCAGTGGCTGCGGCCATTGCGGCTAACAGTGTGACATAATAAATTATGCTGCATGGCTATGATTAATTTGAGTTGTGCATGTAACATGACAGCCGGCCTGGTGTGGGGCATCCAATCAAATGCATACAGAATGAGTGCTTGGAATTGAAATTGGAATTGGCTCACACACACACACAGAAACACACACACACACACAGAAACACACACACGTAGGCACACATCTGCTGCTCCATTTTCCATTTAGCCAGAAAGAAATCAGGGATTGCCTGCTGGCAGTTTGTGTTTTCGTTTTCCGTCTCCAACCATCGACTATTTGTATCTATATGCGAGTCCGCGTATTTGAATGTCCCGCCGGGACCCATGAATTATTACGTGCAATTATTTTCTAATTAATTATTTGACAGCGCTGCGAAGGACGCCAAGCTGCGATAATTTCAGCATTGGATCTGAAGCCGGTGCACATAAAGCCTGTAATGGCTACCATTAAATTGGCGGATGCTACTCTGTGATTCTTCTTCTGTTGGCAATAGGGAATGCGGTCAAATGTATCTTCCCCAACCCCAACCATGTTAATATAAGAGCTACTTAAATATTACTCGTAAGTATACTATGTATATGGGCACCAGGACTAAGTAGGACAAATTTGAGATTGGACAGCACAGTGACAGCAGCTGCAGGCAAGTATTTAAGTTATTGTAGAGGTAGGGCAACTTTGGTTTATTAATGGTGCTAAGAAGTATACATTTGTAACCGTATCTAAAAGCCCATTAAATTTCCATCAGCAGACAGTAACTGGGCTCTCTCGTGAAACACGTCAGTTCATATTTTAGGCAGAGCTCCAATTCAAGTCAAAAGCTTCAATTTTTCTTTCATCCAAACTGATTTTACAACAATCGATTCCCTTCGAGCGATACAATGAAATTGAAAACCCGTCGAATATCTGTCAAATACAACACCTTTAGTTAGAATCAGCGCATGTACAACAACTCCATCCAGCAGATGTGCGTAAAACAATGCCCAAATTGGGCACACAACAAGAGCAGCGTACCAATTGCAATGCCACACATAAACCACTGCTAACCGCGGCACAAAAACTAATTACATTATTTAAAGTTGATGCAATCAGTGAGTGCGTATGCCCCCAACGGCTTACACCAAAAGGCAATCCACGTTACGGTTCAATTGAATGTGCGGACTGGGCTAAAAAAAAATTGTATTGTTACACAGTACACACACACACACACACAGACACTGAATCTGACAGGCCACGGGTCCTCGCAGGACATGCCAGTGCATGCAAATCACTGCAAAAATGCAATGAGCTAACAGAGAGCGGTTTGGGATTGGGTTTGAGTTTGGGTACGGTGTTCAAATTCGGATTGGAGATCAGCAACAGTAACAGTAACCGGAAACGGTAAAGCGCATCCAATGCAACATTGTTGGTTGCTTTACGAGCCGCAACCTCTGGTTGCGCGCAGCTCAGTGTATCTCTCTAGCTGTCAGAGTGTGAGTGTCGGATTAATGCTGCCAGCTGCGTTACCCTTGGGCTGCACACCAAAAACAGAAGAAAAAAAAACAAATAAATGAAAGAAAAAAAGCACAACACAAACCTGCGTGCAACAGAGAAGATGAACCAGCAATAATTCAGTGGCAACAGACGAGCAAAAAAAAATATCGAAACAGCTGCAAGCGTTGCATCGCTAGCCGCTATTTATTGTTGCACGTATTTGTTCGTTAATTGCCGTTGCAGCGCAATAAAAATGCACAGTCCAAAGCACACACA